GAGGAGAGAGAAAGGAGAGGAGAGGGGAATGTAGGGGAGAGAAGCAGAGGAGAGGCGAATGTAAGGGAGAGGTAAAAGAGGGGAAGAGAGATGTAGGGGAGAAAGGACTGTAAGTGAGAGGAAAAGGGAGAGAGTGGAAGGGGAGAAAATGGAAGAGGGAAAGAGAGGGGAAGAATGGAGAGGAGAGAATAAAAGGTCAGTGTGGAAAGAGGGGCGATGAGAAGGAAGAAGAAACGGGAGAGGAAAAGGGGGGAAGGGAGGGAGAGGAGAGTGGAAAGGAAGGTAGAGTGAAAGATAAGTAAGAGGAAAGGAAAGAAACAAAGATGATGGAAAAGGAGTAAGAGAAGGGGAGAGTAAAGAAGGGCTGATGAAGGAGGGAAAGGAAGAAAATAACATAAAGTTACAGATAAAAGAAAACATGAGAATGAAAATGCGAATGAGCGAGACCGAGAATTACAGAAAAATGAGTGATAATTAAATAGGAAAATTGATGAGATTAGGAGAAGAAAACAAAGAAAGATGAAGAGAGAATGGAGATTAAATTCAGGAAGAAAGAATGGACACAGCGAAGAGAAAATCGAATGAAGAGCCAGTTTATTCTTAAATGCTCTCTCTCTCTCTCTCTCTTTCTATCTCTCTGTCTATATTTCTCTCTCTCTCTCTTTCTATCTCACTATCTATCTCTCTCTCTCTTTCTTCAATAATCTCTCCCTTCTCCCCCTTTCTTCTGCTCATCATCGTCTCCCCTCCCTTCTCTTCTCTCCTCTTTTCCCCTTCTTTTTTCTACTCTTCCTCCTTTTCTCCCCTCATCCTCTCCCCCACACTCTCTTATCTCTCTTACGCTATCTCTTTTCAATCACTTCTCCCCCTCTTCCTTCCTTTGCCCCTTCTTCCCCTCCTCTCCCCTCACTTCCCCCCTTCTCCCCTCTTCCCCTCTTCCTCTCCCTTCCAACACCCCTCTCCCCTCTTTTCCTCTTTCTTCTATCCCCGCCCTCTTCTCCCCTTTTTCTTTTCTCCACATCCTCTCCCCTCTCCTACCCCCCTTTCCTCCCCTCCTCTTCCCTCTCTTCCCCCTTCTCCCCTATTCCCTCTTCCTCTCCTTCCAGCCCCCTCTCCCCTCTTTTCCTCCTTCTTCTACCCCTCCCCCTCTTCTCCCATTTTCTTTTCTTCTCATCCTCTCCCCTCTCTCCCCCCCTTCCTTCCCTCCTCTTCCCCTCCACCCCTTCTCCCCTCTTCCCCTCTTCCTCTCCCTTCCACCCCCTCTCCCCTTTTTTCCTCCTTCTTCTACCCCTCCCCCTCTTCTCCCCTTCTCTCTCTCCACATCCTCTCCCCTCTCTTCCCCTTCTCTCCTCTTGCCCTCTTCCTCTCTCTTCCACCCCCCTCTCCCCTCTTTTCCTCTTTCTTCTACCCCCGCCCTCTTCTCCCCTTCTCTCTCTCCTCATCCTCTCCCCTCTCTTCCCCCCTCTCCTACCCTCCTCTTCCCCTCTCTTCCTCCCTTCCCCTCTTTACCTCTTTCTTCAACCTCCGCCCTCTTCTCCTCTTTCCTTTTCCCCCCTTCCTCCCCTCCTCTTCCCCCCCTCCCCCCCTGTCTCTGTCTCGAATGAAGATCCGGGTAATAATGATTTTCGTCTGTCAGGTCAGTGTTGACTTAGCGTTTGTTAGTGAAAGGTTTCCGGGAATTAAAGGTTTTCCCTTCTACTAGTGAGCATTTCGATGGGGCGAAGATGAGAGAGAGAGAGAGAGAGAGAGAGAGAGAGAGAGAGAGAGAGAGAGAGAGAGAGAGAGAGAGAGAGAGAGAGAGAGAGAGAGAGAGAGAGTTTAGCGTGACTTGTATTTATATGATTCATACACTCTATGTGTGCATGGCGTATGGCGTATTCTATGGTTTTATTTTTTTTTTTTCTTAAATATCATCCTTTCTTCTTTATTTGTTTTTTCTCCTCTTTCCCCTACCTCTTTAAAAAATATGTTTCATTAATTTAAGTTCATTTTTTTTAGTAAGAGTTTGTCCTCGTCAGTTTTTCGTCTTTTTTTTCAGTCCAAACACCCATTGCAGATTTTTTTCCCTTCCTCCTTCCCTCCCTCTATCTCCCCTTCCCTCTTCCCTTCCCTCCTTCCTTCCTTCACTCTTGCTTTCCTTCCTCCCTCCCTCCCTCTCCCTCCTTCCCTCTCCCTCCCTCTCCCTCCTTCCCTCTCCCTCCCTCCCCTCCCTCTCCCTCCCCTATTTTCCACACAGACCACAGACTCAAACCACTGACTTAAACCACTGATTTTAACTGACTTAAACCACTGACTTTAACTGACTTAGACCACTGACTTTAACTGATTTAAACCACTGACTTTAACTGACTTAAACCACTGACTTAAACCACTGACTTAAACCACGGACTTAAACACTGACTTTACCACTTACTCATTTTTCCCCATTGCAGGAGAGGCGTGTTACATCGGGATGGACATCACCATCGCCTCGTTTGACTCCATCTCGGAAGTAAATATGGTAAGTTCTATCTTCACTCTTTTTTATGTTGAAATAAGAAAAGAAAAAAGAAAAAATATATATATTTTGTCAACGTTTGTTCTTTGTTTAGGGGGTATGTATGTCTTTTTTTCTCTCTTTCTCTCTCTTTCTCTTTCTCTTTTTTCCCCGTAGTGTTAGATTTTTTTTTATTATTTAGTAATATTTGCCTGGATTCTAAAAGGTGTTACATTGCTTTTGTTTACGTCAATCCAGTGGTGTTCGTGGATTAATGGATTAATTTTGTGTATTATGATACGTTATTTTTTCTGAAATTTCGAGAAAAAAAAAGGTTTCTTCAAGTTATTTTTTCTCTCTGAAATTTCGAGGAAAAAATAGGTTTCTTCAAGTTATTTTTTCTTTCTGAAATTTCGAGGAAAAAAATAGGTTTCTACAAATTTGGTAATAGAGTGAATTATACAAAAAAAAAATATTTACACTTTTTTTTTTTTTGGTAGCGTTTAAGGGATCTCATTTCTACGCATGTGCTTCTATTATTGTATTTTTTTATCTCGTTTCAGGATAAGAAGTTATTTTTTCGTTTTCTGAAGACCTCCTTCTCCTTCATCTTCCTCTTTTTCTTCTTCTTTATTAGTATTTTTCTCTCCCTCCCTCGTTCGCTCGCTCACTCTCGCTCTCTCTTTTACTATCTCCTTCTCTCTTCCTTGCTCTCTCTCCTCTCTCTCTCTCTCTCTCTCTCTCTCTCTCTCTCTCTCTCTCTCTCTCTCTCTCTCTCTCTCTCTCTCTCTCTCTCTCTCTCGTTCTTACTATATATCCCTCCTTTCCTTTCTCCCTTTCTCTTTCCCTCCTTTCCTCTCTCCTTTCCATCCTCCATCTTTCTCTCCCTCCTTCCTTAAACTTCTCTCTCTCTCACCTTCCCTCCATCCTCCTTATTCCTCCCTCCCTCCCTCCTTCCCTCCCCCTACCCTCCCTTCATCCTTTCCTTTCCAACCAAACCTCCTCTCACTTTCCCCCTACTCTCCCTCCCTCTCCTCCCTCCCTTTCATCCTCCCCTTCTTCCCCTCTCTCTCTCTTTCTCCCTTCCTTCCTTCTTTTCCTTATTTTCTTCCTTCCCTCCTTCCCACCTCCCCCCCCCTCCCTATCTCCTACTCTCCCTTTCCAACTCTCCTTCTCTCACCCACCCTCTTCCCTCCCTCCCATCTCCCCTCCATTATCCTATCCCTCCCTTCCCTCCTTCCTCACTCTCTTTCCACCTCACCCTCCCTCCCTTCCCTCCCTTCCCTCGCCATCCCACCCACCTTCCCCCTTTAGCATCCATCCCCTCCCTATCCCCTCCCTTTCTCGTCCATTTCCCATCCCTTTCCCTTCCCTCTCCCTTCCCCTTCTCTTTCTCTTCTCTTTCCCCTCCCTTTCTCTTCCGTCCCTCCTCCCATTACCTTCCCTTCTCCCTCCCTCTCCGCTCTCTTTCCCCTCCCTTCCTCTTACCTTCCCCTTCCCTTTCCTTTAACTTTTCCCTCCCTCTGCCCTCCCTTTCCCTTTCATTCCCTTCCCTCTCCCCTCCCTTTCCTCTCCTTTTCCCCTTCCTTCCTTCCTCTCCCTTCCCCCTCCCCTCCCCCTCCCCTCCCCCTCCCTTCCTCTTCCCTTTCCCCTCCCTCTCATTCCAGTCCTTCTCCCTTCCCCTTCTCTTCCTCGCCCGTCCCCTTCCATTCTCCCCCTCTCCCCTCCCTCTCCCTTCCCTCTCCATCCCCTCTCCCGTCCCTCTCCCCCCTCCCTCCCCCCTCCCCCTCCCCTCCCTCCCGCCCTCCCTTCTCCCCTCCCTCCTCCCTCCCTCTCCCCTCCCCCCTCCCCTCCACGCCCCCTCCCTCTCTCCTCCCTCTAACCCTGATCTCTCCCTCCCTCCCCCCTCCCTCTCCCCTCCCCTTCCCCTTGCCCTCTCCCCTCCCTCCCCCCTCCCTCTCCCCTCCCCCCTCCCTACCTCCAACCCCCCCTTTCCAACTCTCCTTCTCTCACCCACCCTCTTCCTCCTCCCATCTCCCCTCCATATCCTTCCCACCCTTCCCTCCTACCTACTCTCTTATCCCCACCTCACCCTCCCCTCCCTTTCCCCTCCCTTCCCTCGCCTCCCACCACCTTCCCCCCTTTAGCTCCATCCCCTCCCTATCCCCTCCCTTTCTCGTCCATTTCCCATCCCTTTTTTCCTTCCCCTCACCCTTCCCCTTCTCTATTCTCTTCTCTTTCCCCTCCCTTTATCTTCCGTCCCTCTCTCCCATGGAGGGAAAGGTCTCCCTCCCTCTCCGCCTCTCTTTCCCCTTCCCCTCCTCTTACCTTCCCTTTCCTTTTCCTTTAACTTTTTCACCCCCCCTCTCCCTCACCTTTTTCCCTTTCATTCCCTTCCCTCTCCCCTCCCTTTCTCTCCTTTTCCTCCTTTTCCCCCTTCCTTCCCTCTCCCTTCCCCCTCCCCTCCCCCCTCCCCTCCCCCCTCCCTTCCTCTTCCCTTTCCCCTCCCTCTCCATTCCACCCTTCACCCTCCCCCCTTCCTCTCCCCTCCCTTCCCCTTCCGTTCTCCCCCTCTCCCCTCCCTCCTCCTTCCCTCACCAGATCCCTCTCTTCCCTCTCCCCCCTCCCTCCCCCCTCCCTCTTCCCCCTCCCCCTTCCCCTCCCTCCCTCCCTCCTTCCCCCCTCCCTCCCCCCACCCCTTCCCCTACCCTCTCCCCTCCCCCTTCCCCCCCTCCCCCTTCACCCTACCCTCTCTCCTCCCCTTCCCCCCTCCCCCTCCCTCCTCCCTCTTCCCCCTCCCCTTCCCCTCCCTCCCCCCCTCCTCCCCTCCTCCTTCTCCCCTCCCTCTCCCCTCCCTTCCCTCCTTCCCCCCTCCCTCACCCCCTCCCTTCCCCTCCCTCTACCCTCCTTCCTTCCTTCACTCTTGCTTTCTTCCTCTCCCCTCCCTCCCTCTCCCCTCCCCCTCCCCTCTTCCCTCCCCCTATTTTCCACACAGACCACAGACTCAAACCACTGGACTTAAACCACTGACTGTTAACTGACTTAAAACCATGCTTTAACTGACTTAGACCACTGACTTAAAAACCACTTACTTAACTGACTTAAACACTGACTTTAACTGACTAAAACCACTGACTTAAACACTGACTTTACCCACTGACTCATTTTTTTTTCTCCCCATTGGCAGGAGAGGCGTGTTACATCGGATGGACATCACCATCGCCTCGTTTGACTCCATCTCGGAAGTAATATGGTAAGTTCTCTCTTCACTCTTTTTTTAATGTGTAAAAGAAAATAAAAACAAATATATATTATATATATATATTTTGTCCACGTTTGTTTTTGTTTAGGGGGTAAATGGTATGTCTTTTTTTCCTCTTTCTCTCTCTTTCCCCTCTTTTCTTTTTTTTTTCCCCGTAGTGTTAGATTTTTTTTATTTTTTTTTTATTTAGTAATATTTGCCTGGATTCTAACCGGTTTACAATTGATTTTGTTTACGTGTTCCCCCCAAAAATCCAGTGGTGTTTCGTGGATTCTGGATTACTTTTGTGTATTATATGATACGTTATTTTCTATCTGAAATTCGAGAAAAAAGTTATTTTTTCTCGTCCGTCTCTGAAATTCGAGGAAAAAATAAAGGTTTCTTCAATGTATATTTTTTCTTGTCTGAAATTTCGAGGAACAAATAGGTTCTTACAAATTTGGTATGAGTGAATTATACAAAAAAAAATTTACGAACTTTTTTTTTTTGGTAGCGTGTTTAAAGAGATAGAGAGGGATCGCATTTTCTCACGCCATGTGCTTCTACTTATTTGTATTTATTTTATCTCTTTCAGGATAAGAATTTAATTTTTTTTTTTTTTTTTTTTTTTTTTTTTTTTTTTTCGTTTTCTGAAGGACCTCCTTCTCCTTCCTCTTCCTTTTTCTTCGTCTTTATTAGTATTTCTCCTCTCTTTTTACCCGCTCGGTTCGCTCGCTCACTCTCGCTCTCCCTCTTTACTATCTCCTTCTCTCTCCTTCCTTCTTGCTCTCGGTCTCTCTCTCTCTCTCTCTCTCCTCGTCTCACTCCTCATCTCTCTCTCTCCCTCTCTCTCTCCTCTCTCCTCTCCGTCTTTCCTCTCTCTCTCTCTCGTCTCTCTCTCGTTCTTTACGAATATATCCCTCCTTTCCTTTCTTTCTCTTCTCCCTTTCTCTTTCGCCTCCTTTCTCTCTTCCCCCCCCCCCCCCCCCTTTCCATCCTCCACTTTCTCTCCATCCTTCCTTAATTCTCTCTCTCTCAACCGTTCCCCTCCATCCTCCTTATTCTCCATCCCTCCCCTCCTTTTCCCTCCCCCTACCCTCCTTCATCCTTTCCTTTCCAACCAAAACCTCACTCCTCCACTTTCTCCCCCCCCTACTTCTCCCTCCCTCTCCTCCCGCCCTTTCCCCTCTCCCACTTCTTTCCCCTCTCTCTCTCTTTCCCTCTCCCTTCCTTCCGTCTTTTCCTTCTTTTGCTCTCCTTCCCTCCTTCCCCACCCTCCCCCCCCCTCCCTACCTCCTAACTCCCCCTTTCCAACTCTCCTTCTCTCACCCACACCGCTTTCCCTCCCTCCCTCTTCTCCCCCTCCATGTCCCTTCCCTCTCCTTCCCTCCTTCCTCATCTCTTACACCTCACCCTCCTCCGCTTCCCTCCCTTCCTCCCTGCGCCAATCCCACCCACCTTCCTCCCCCTTTAGCATCACATCTCACCTCCCTTCCCCCTCCCTTCCCTCGCCATTTCCCATCCCTTTCCCTTTCCCTCTCGCCTTCCCCTTCTCTTTCCTCTTCTGTTTTCCTTCCCCCTCCCTTTCTCTTCCGTCCCCCTCCCATTTCTTCCCCCTTCATTCACCTCCCTCTCCGCTCTCTTTTCCCCCCCTATTCCCTTACCTTCCCTTCCCCTTCCTTTAACTTTTTCCTCCCTCTTGCCCTCCCTTTCCCTTTCATTCCCTTCCCTCTCCCTCCATTTCCTCTCCTTTACCCCTATCCTTACTCTCCCTTCCCCTCCA